TGCAGTACGTGGGCTTTAGCTGTAATCCTGGTATCCGATGTAAGGGAGATGAATCGATGGTGTATTTCACCTGTCGAGATCGTATCATTCGTTTATCTGACATGCGTGGCATATTTATGGTAGGAAAAATACGTACTGGGCATAGGAATCTTATCCAAAAAGTTCCACCATGCAGCACTATGATACATAGCCGGGAAGTGACACCCGAAGAACCAACAACTTCGGGTAATGTGGCATTGGGTTCAACTGGACAGGTAGGCTTCTGCTGGTAGCGCCGACAGCTTATCTGACGTGAGAGCTGCACGTTATCGCGCGGCGCGACTCGGTATCGCCGGGCAAACACTAGGCGTCGTTTAAATCCTGATACCATTCCGATTGTGGTAAGCTGTCGGAAAGATTGGTGCGAGCAGCGCGCCGCCCCGCGGCCGCTGCCAGCCAGAAGCTCGGCCGCTCAGAGGCGGCCGTCTGCCGACGCGAGCAGCGAGGTGCGCGCGCGCCGCAGCTCTCGGCGCCGCTCGGCGGTCCGTGACCTTGACCGGAGCTGACCTCCGCGACTGGGTGCGGTATCATCGAGTGCACAGGTAAGCCGGGGGTGGGAGAGCCGTGTGCCGAGCATGTCTCGCTGCAAGTCGCCAGCAGGTGCTGCTGCTGCTCCGTCGTCGTCGCAGTCGAAAGTGTCCCTGCGGCTGTGATCCACGGTGTGACCTTGAGGCAGTTGACCTTTGGCGTAGACCTCGACGATTCTCTCAAAGCCCACGGAGGGTGACGAGTGAGTTATTGCTGCACCTTTTGCCTAGTAGCATGATTCCTACTAGTGTCACGTTGTAAGAGCATTTGCAGCTACGTGAGATGTTTGCTGTTTTTCCCAGATACATTCGCTGCAGTCACAGGATGGCAAGAAGTTTGGCTGACCGAAACCGTATGCATGTTAACTTCAAATCGCTTGTGATATGGCTAGATATAGGAGAATTCTAAGACAACATGTAATTCAAAGTTGCTGGGCTGTTACTAGGAATATAAAACTGGATTGCATACTACTGGATTGACCATGTTACTGGACATTTCGAAGGCGTTGTGCCTCCCATTCGATTGGCGAAAACTATTTTCAGCGCTTAGCAGGGTCTTCATGTGTTTGCATCCTAAGCAAACTTAATGGCATACGTGAGAATGCATCAGGCTGGCTTTACTTTTCTCTTGCATCTGTTCTCCCGAAGCGGTTCATCCTCTTCTAACGTTCGTTACCACCGAGGCCAGTTTTTTGCAAGTGCTGGCGTGCGATCTTTTTGGTTCGGTGATTCGCACATTTTTTTTGGCACGCAGTATTACCGTTCCGCGGTTGTTAGGATTCATCAGTTAGGACATAGGCTAAAGGAGACAGACATCACATATGCTGCAAATCACAAGCATGTGGTGATAACGTGAAAAGCACCCCGTGTTGCGAAAGTGCCGTCTAGTTGCCCGACAGAACCAATCACGCGGCACTGAGCCACGCGCGCTATGTCGGTGTTTGCCTAATTCGGGATCTGGCATTTTCCTGGAGTATATCACGCAACTATATCTTCGATGTACGCAACCATTTCGTGGTTCGATGTGGGAGGGTTAAAATGCACATTGCGAAAATATCAGTGGTGAAGTTATAAGAATCATACTTGAAGTGAAGTACATCGGACCACTCCATGTTATGCGCTTGTTACGTCACTTACGTAAAATGTCTCGTCATACTTTTTTTAACTCGTCATTCAAGTTTTTTAACTCCAGCATTACTTGGAGGTTTGCAATATGCGCACTTTTTTGTTGAAGTGACTACTCTTCCCATAGATTAAACTTCTTTCCTTCGCCTTTCAAAATAGGTGCGGAGCGTCACACCTGCGACTGAGGCGTATCGGCATGCGTCACGCTCTTGGAAAGAGCATCAAGACTGATGTGTCCGTTCTAGCACGCGGAATATCACCTAGCGCCACGGCTGCTGCTTCCTTTCACAAGTTTCGACAACCATCCATTTGAACGCCGGAAGCAAAGTGGCATGCATACGAAAGAAAAGCATACCCTCCGGAGGGAATGTGGTGCCGGGCTCTAGGATAGAGCCATCACCAACTTTGTGTTTGAAGGAGCGGGGTTATATTTGGAGATGTTATGTTTAAAACAACAAATACTAAAATGTTTTGAGCCATGCAGTAAACTATACTTACATTCTATGCTAGGAGCTATTATTATGACCATATTGCCTTTCAGTGTATGAGGTGAAGGCTAAGAGATCCATGAAAGGTCAACCTTTAACTGACCTTTTGGTTTATTGAAGGTTGAATATTGTCAGAATAAAAGTTTCAATAAGAATCCACAATGTCCAACTTTGATAACAAATCAAAATGCTAAGAACAGAACCTGAAAAGTTATATGCAATGGTTGATATATATATATATATATATATATATATATATATATATATCAAAGTTAAGGGTTATCTTAGGGTCCGTTCCTTCAAATACACTGGCAGGGCATGGAAGTGGCTGGGATGGTGAGTTCTGAAATTTCTTCTGATACTCTCAACGCCTGATTCGAAAACTGAACGGGCTGAGATAATCTCATTCAAACTCAAGTGCAGAAGTACAGTGTACCTAGCAAGGTTTTGGATTTTATTGGGAAGCTCTGCATTATATCAACTCGAAACACGCTAGTGGATGCCTATAAACTTGATGCATCTTGTGCATATTGTAAATATAATTTGCTATGTATTCAAATTAATATAATTTGCTGTGATACATCCAAACAGCGGTAAGCAAAACATACACTCAAACACACACACACACACACACACACACACACACACACACACACACACACACCACACACACACACACACACACAGGTAGGAAGCGTGATGGAAACACCACATAAGACGCCCCAAATCCAACTGCACCTTGCTATCATGACGAGTTTTTTTGTTGTTCCCAGCGTTACAAGCAGACTCGTATGGATAAAAAGGCAATCATCCATTTATTGTGATCGATTTCTTACGTTTTATCTTTTTTAGAAATAGTCAATTCGGTTTTTCGGTTTGATTTTGAATTCAGGGGATGCTGTTCATGTTAACGCCACATCGATAATGGTAGCACCATGCACCTGTGGCGATAAATCCTGCCCAAATAACCAAAGGGCAGGGTTTATGGGTTAATCTGCGCCTTACGCCCACCTGCTTATCCACTGCATGAGGACATCGAGCAGCATTGAGCTAGCCAGACAAGCGTGCTCTTCACTGATACCGCAGGGGAGGTGACGTGTGATGCAGCGAGGGGACTTAGCTCGTAACTGAACACCCGCCATTGCCGGTCAAGGGTGCTCGATAACGTCTATGACGAGCATCTTCAACGTCTCCAAGACCAATGTACAAACCAATGTGGTCTAACTTCATTCACGCAGTTCTGTGGAAGTCAAAGCTCTGGACGTATTATCGCGGCACGCTTAAATGGTATCCAGCGGACTTCAGGCGGCTGTTTCTCAGTGACTACCACCGGAGGGAGCCCACCTGTTTGTGAGACAGGACCGGTTGTGGTGCACGACGCGCGCGCTGTGCGCTTGCCGTGCCGTGCCGTCTCGTGGTTCTGGCGTCACGTTACGCCTCCGGTGGCCAAGGAAAAGGCGCCTCCGTGAAACAACGCCCCCACAGAACTCTTGCAATGCTACCGCTGGCGCGCTGTCAGTGATGTAGTGATGCATAGTTTTGATAAAGTTTGGTGGAATCCATGCGTCATCATTACCGGCGTCACCGCGGTACCGCGCTGCGTCGTCGGCGCCGCGGCCATCGCGTGCAGCCACAACACCCACGTTCCCTGATGACGCAATTCGCTGTTCAGCGCAGCGCCACATCGACCACCGTACGCCGCCGGCGCCTTGCGGACAGCACTTCCCAGCTGTCTGCAGCCGTTATGGAGGGCGTGTCAGCCGGCCGGCGCCGATGCCCCCGGGGCTCCTGGCGGCACCGCGCCGGCACCTCTCTCGCGCGTCGACCGTCGCCGGCCGCCTGATACGCTGCGATAGCGGCATATCCCATGACGGGCGGCGCGATATTCGTCATGACAAAGCGCTCGGTAAATAGTCGAGGCATGCGTGGAGGGAGCACTGCCGGCGGTACAGTGTGCCCGGCGCGGCTGCCGAAGGAGCCGCAGCGTGGCTGGGGGCGCAATATGGCGAGGTGGCCTGAAGCGGTCTCGAGTGAGAGGGTTGTACCAAGGCCTAGCGGCGTAGTTTCGTCGAGCTGTACTGGCCGGACGACTTTTGACAGTGTGGTCTTCTCAGCTGCATAGCCATTCTTGCAAACTTGTCAGCTCCATCCCTCGGCTCGATTCTCTGTAGAATGACCATAAAATAGTCGACAATGTCGCGGAAGCATTTGTGAATGATAATGACAAGGATTTTGTGCAAGACATAGATGCTGGTTTTGTTTGACACGCACCCGGCTGGCCGGTTGGATAGTCTTCGCTCGGGTGCGGGTCAATTTGACCCCCGCTGAGATATCGAGAGCTAAGAGAGCTAGAGACACCAAATTTATAGGGTGTATTGACCTGTACGTGAACTATCTTAGTTCAGACTTTCAGGTTTTTAGGTCATGACCTTCGAGTCAAAGAAGGTCAAACTAGGTCAAAGTTCAGATTTGTTTCCAAAGGTCCCCTAGAACCTAGGCAACTGTTCTAACTAAAAAGTTACACGCTCTGGTAAGGTCCCTGTTTGACCTTTAAAAGCCGTGGTGACCAAAATGATATGAGACTGCCTTTAGTTTTGCATTTGGATAAGCGACAAAGAGTACGCTAGGCAGTATGTTCCTAAAAACAAAGTGTTGACCTGGGTCATTCTAGGTCAGTGACCCATGCTGACCTTATAAAAAGTTCATGGAAGGTGTATAATGTGGTTCCTAATATCAATATATTCGAAATGAGTACCAGAACCCACCCCACACAGCAAGCCCGAGAGTAACAAAACTGGTTGGTTTTGACCTTAGTCTGGCCTTTATACCTGACTCTAGGTCAATGTTATTTGTTTATTCAGTCGTTGTGTTGCCTAAGGAGGTATTTTAGATATGTATGGCTTCGTCTAACACTCAGTTGTTCGAGCGGATTGAACGTTTTCCTAGATATTGCTTTCGCTGAAACCATGGCCTGACTTTGACCTTCCATAGGTCAGCGGCCTTGCAAGGTACATCTAAATTTGTAATGCCCGACGATCCGCTATTTAATTGCCTACAGCTATGCAACATTTTGCGCGGCTACGCCGCACCGTTCGGAAACCATTCAGGGAAAACCTTGGGAGGGGGTCAATTCGACCCCCACCCGAGCGCGTGTTAATTAATGGCCAGCAGGCAGTTATGCCCTCTAGAAGTAAACTTATCGCCATCCATTTATCGCAGTTCCGTGCTACTGTTGGCAACTAGAAATACATTGCGTCAACAGTTTACGATGTCGAATTGCGGGTGTTTACAAGCGGCACGACCAGGCGTTAATTCCCGTAACATTCCAATTGAGGCTGGGTATATATAACCCCCCATTCCCCTGGCGTGCTCGGGTCAGGTTGCCACATTGTCAAACAGATG